GACAATTTTAATGATGTAACCCCTTATCATTTTTTCAAATTTTGGAAAAAATCTCGATAATATATTTTTTGACCGGACATGGCTAGAATGATTCCCCTGTTGATGCCGATCAAGAAAATATATGATTTATAGGGTCGGAAATGAGTCCTTCACATAGTTTCAATCATCTGACTAAAGGTATAATTTCCTTTAGCCACATTTTTATTTGACAATTTTTTCGGAAAATCAAAGTTTAAAAATTTCATAACTAAGCCAAAAATGCATTAATTTCAATTCGGCAAACGGTTCTATTTACGTTGTTTGTTGGTTTATTAATCTGCATACTCAATTTACAATTCTAAAAAAGTGCAAAGCTAAAAATTTCTGCCTTCCTTGAATCAATATTTAGCCACATTTTTATTCGACCATTTTTGGCGCAATATCGAAGCTTAAAAAGTTCATAACTAAGCCAAAAATGCGTTAATTTCACTTCGGAAACCGTTTCTATGTAAGTTTTTATAAGGTTTATAAATCTGCATACTCAATTTCCAATTTTAGAAAATTGAAATTTCTGCCAATTTTTGACAATTTTAATGATGTAACCCCTTATCATTTTTTCAAATTTTGGAAAAAATCTCGATAATTTATTTTTTGACCGGACATGGCTAGAATGATTCCCCTGTTGATGCCGATCAAGAAAATATATGATTTATAGGGTCGGAAATGAGTCCTTCACATAGTTTCAATCATCTGACTAAAGGTATAATTTCCTTTAGCCACATTTTCATTAGACCATTTTTGGCGCAAAATCGAAGTTTAAAAAGTTCATAACTAAGCCAAAAATGCATTAATTTCAATTCGGAAAACGGTTCTATTTACGTTGTTATTTGGTTTATAAATCTGCATACTCAATTTACAATTCTAAAAAAGTGCAAAGCTAAAAATTTCTGCCTTCCTTGAGTCAATATTTAGCCACCTTTTTATTTGACAATTTTTTCTAGAACTCATAGTTTAAAATTTTATATCTAAGCCAAAAATGCATTAATTTCAATTCGGAAAACGGTTCTATTTACGTTGTTATTAGGTTTATAAATCTGCATACTGAATTTACAATTCTAAAAAAGTGCAAAGCTAAAAATTTCTGCCTTCCTTGAATCAATGTTTAGCCACATTTTTATTCGACCATTTTTGGCGCAAAATCGAAGCTTAAAAAGTTCATAACTAAGCCAAAAATGCGTTAATTTCACTTCGGAAACCGTTTCTATGTAAGTTTTTATAAGGTTTATAAATCTGCATACTCAATTTCCAATTTTAGAAAATTGAAATTTTTTCCAATTTTTGACAATTTTAATGATGTAACCCCTTATCATTTTTTCAAATTTTGGAAAAAACCTCGATAATTTATTTTTTGACCGGACATGTCTAGAATGATTCCCCTGTTGATGCCGACCAAGAAAATATATGATTTATAGGGTCGGAAATGAGTCCTTCACATAGTTTCAATCATCTGACTAAAGGTATAATTTCCTTTAGCCACATTTTTATTTGACAATTTTTTCGGAAAATCAAAGTTTAAAAATTTCATAACTAAGCTAAAAATGCATTAATTTTAATTCGGCAAACGGTTCTATTTACGTTGTTATTTGGTTTATTAATCTGCATACTCAATTTACAATTCTAAAAACGTGCAAAGCTAAAAATTTCTGCCTTCCTTGAGTCAATATTTAGCCACCTTTTTATTTGACAATTTTTTCTAGAACTCATAGTTTAAAATTTTTATATCTAAGCCAAAAATGCATTAATTTCAATTCGGAAAACGGTTCTATTTACGTTGTTATTAGGTTTATAAATCTGCATACTGAATTTACAATTCTAAAAAAGTGCAAAGCTAAAAATTTCTGCCTTCCTTGAATCAATGTTTAGCCACATTTTTATTCGACCATTTTTGGCGCAAAATCGAAGCTTAAAAAGTTCATAACTAAGCCAAAAATGCGTTAATTTCACTTCGGAAACCGTTTCTATGTAAGTTTTTATAAGGTTTATAAATCTGCATACTCAATTTCCAATTTTAGAAAATTGAAATTTTTTCCAATTTTTGACAATTTTAATGATGTAACCCCTTATCATTTTTTCAAATTTTGGAAAAAACCTCGATAATTTATTTTTGACCGGACATGTCTAGAATGATTCCCCTGTTGATGCCGACCAAGAAAATATATGATTTATAGGGTCGGAAATGAGTCCTTCACATAGTTTCAATCATCTGACTAAAGGTATAATTTCCTTTAGCCACATTTTTATTTGACAATTTTTTCGGAAAATCAAAGTTTAAAAATTTCATAACTAAGCTAAAAATGCATTAATTTTAATTCGGCAAACGGTTCTATTTACGTTGTTATTTGGTTTATTAATCTGCATACTCAATTTACAATTCTAAAAACGTGCAAAGCTAAAAATTTCTGCCTTCCTTGAGTCAATATTTAGCCACCTTTTTATTTGACAATTTTTATAGAACTCATAGTTTAAAATTTTTATATCTAAGCCAAAAATGCATTAATTTCAATTCGGAAAACGGTTCTATTTACGTTGTTATTAGGTTTATAAATCTGCATACTGAATTTACAATTCTAAAAAAGTGCAAAGCTAAAAATTTCTGCCTTCCTTGAGTCAATATTTAGGTACATTTTCATTCGACCATTTTGGCGCAAAATGGAAGCTTAAAAAGTTCATAACTAAGCCAAAAATGCGTTAATTTCACTTCGGAAACCGTTTCTACGTTAGTTTTTATAAGGTTTATAAATCTGCATACTCAATTTCCAATTTTAGAAAATTGAAATTTTTTCCAATTTTTGACAATTTTAATGATGTAACCCCTTATCATTTTTTCAAATTTTGGAAAAAATCTCGATAATATATTTTTGACCGGACATGGCTAGAATGATTCCCCTGTTGATGCCGATCAAGAAATATATGATTTATAGGGTCGGAAATGAGTCCTTCACATAGTTTCAATCATCTGACTAAAGGTATAATTTCCTTTAGCCACATTTTTATTTGACAATTTTTCGGAAAATCAAAGTTTAAAAATTTCATAACTAAGCCAAAAATGCATTAATTTCAATTCGGCAAACGGTTCTATTTACGTTGTTTGTTGGTTTATTAATCTGCATACTCAATTTACAATTCTAAAAAGTGCAAAGCTAAAAATTTCTGCCTTCCTTGAATCAATATTTAGCCACATTTTTATTCGACCATTTTTGGCGCAATATCGAAGCTTAAAAAGTTCATAACTAAGCCAAAAATGCGTTAATTTCACTTCGGAAACCGTTTCTATGTAAGTTTTTATAAGGTTTATAAATCTGCATACTCAATTTCCAATTTTAGAAAATTGAAATTTCTGCCAATTTTTGACAATTTTAATGATGTAACCCCTTATCATTTTTTCAAATTTTGGAAAAAATCTCGATAATTTATTTTTTGACCGGACATGGCTAGAATGATTCCCCTGTTGATGCCGATCAAGAAAATATATGATTTATAGGGTCGGAAATGAGTCCTTCACATAGTTTCAATCATCTGACTAAAGGTATAATTTCCTTTAGCCACATTTTCATTAGACCATTTTTGGCGCAAAATCGAAGTTTAAAAAGTTCATAACTAAGCCAAAAATGCATTAATTTCAATTCGGAAAACGGTTCTATTTACGTTGTTATTTGGTTTATAAATCTGCATACTCAATTTACAATTCTAAAAAAGTGCAAAGCTAAAAATTTCTGCCTTCCTTGAGTCAATATTTAGCCACCTTTTTATTTGACAATTTTTCTAGAACTCATAGTTTAAAATTTTCATAACTAAGCCAAAAATTCATTATTTTCAATTCGGAAAACGGTTTTATTTACGTTGTTATTTGGTTTATAAATCTGCATACTGAATTTACAATTTTAAAAAGTGCAAAGCTAAAATTTCTGCCTTCGTTGAATCAATATTTAGCCACACTTTTATTCGACCATTTTTGGTGGAAAATCGCAGTTTAAAAAGTTCATAACTAAGCCAAAAATGCATTAATATTAATTCGGAAAACGGTTTTATGTGCGCTGTTATTAGGTTTATAAATCTGCATTCTCAATTTACAATTTAAAAATGTAACGGTCATTAAAAGATTATAAATTATTTAGGCTTAGAAAAAGTTAAATTATAAATTATAAATCCATAAATACACAATCGGAACTCAATATTTTGTCTAAAACTTAGAAAACAAAACAAAAAATAAATCTATTTTAATGTAATTGGCACTATAGCCTTATCTTACCTTAAAGTATATGTGTTAATATATTATATTTATATATAGAAATATAGATTGCAACATATTTTTACAAATGCATACACAGACAGATTTAAGAATAGATGAAAGGCTCTCCATTTCAAGATTTTGTTACCTGTTTTTAAAAACTTGTATGCTCCTTCATAGTATTTTATTCTATATTTGAGTAAAAGGCCTTTTAATTAATTTAAATTATTTTAGTTATAATGTATAATTGGCATTGTTTATATATATGAATATATATTCCAAATTAAATCTGATAAGCTGCATTTTGTTTTCTATTGCCGAGAACACATTTGTTTTTATATCAGCAAATTCATTCACTAAGTTATTATTAATATTATTTTTTATTTACAAAATGTTGAGGGTTTAAATAATTATTTATTTATTTATTTAGTAAAAGATATTTTATTATATCAATATTAACATAAACCTTTCTTAGTGTTTCCTAATAAAAGATTTTCAGGGATAATATATTCTATAGTAATCCAAACCAATAAATAATTTTAGATCTATAGTGTCCTTTTCAGAATTACAGCTTGGAGTTTTCCACTAAAAGTATATGTAATTATAAGTGGTAATCAGGTCTAAGTTTCCGAAACTATAACTTCTGTACCTCAAATTAAATCCCATGGAATTTGCATAAATTAAAATGTATATTTTGCCCATACAATACTCAATAAAATTAAACACCTTTTAGGGTCTGCTTTCCCTGTTGCGCAAACTGAGACCCAATCCGGAGAAGGAGGCCCGCATCCTGCTCCTGGGACTCGATAATGCCGGCAAGACGACAATATTAAAGCAACTGGCATCGGAGGATATAACCACGGTTCGTATGATAGCCGCAAACTGCTTCCGTTTGCCCCATAAAATTCGGAGTGAACCCCTGCAGGTAACACCCACGGCCGGATTTAATATCAAGTCTGTGGCAGCCGATGGATTCAAGCTGAATGTATGGGATATTGGTGGTCAGTGGAAGATCCGACCCTATTGGAAGAACTACTTTGCCAATACGGATGTGCTGGTGAGATCGTATACTACTTTTTCTTTATTTTGTTTAATTTAAAATTGTATTTGTGGCAGATCTATGTTATTGATTGCACGGATCGGGCTCGTCTTCCGGAGGCGGGCAGCGAACTGTTTGAGATGCTAATGGACAATCGATTGAAGCAGGTTCCCGTCTTGATTTTCGCCAACAAACAGGACATGCCCGATGCCATGAGTGCCTCCGAGGTGGCCGAGAGGATGAGTTTGGTCCAATTGCAAGGACGAACCTGGGAGATTAAGGCCTGCACCGCTGTAGACGGAACTGGACTCAAGGAGGGCATGGATTGGGTGTGCAAGAACATGAAGAAGTAATCCAGTTTTAATTTGTTAAGTTGAGTAATGCTATCTCTAAGATTCAAATCATAAATATATGTACTTTTAATGTCAGATAATTAAGACTTTTGTTTTATATTTTATTTTATTTCCAAAGAGCTCAATTGTAACACAAACATATTAATAATGAATCAATATTTAGCCACATTTTTATTCGACCATTTTTGGCGCAATATCGAAGCTTAAAAAGTTCATAACTAAGCCAAAAATGCGTTAATTTCACTTCGGAGACCGTTTCTATGTAAGTTTTTATAAGGTTTATAAATCTGCATACTCAATTTCCAATTTAGAAATTGAAATTTCTGCCAATTTTTGACAATTTTAATGATGTAACCCCTTATCATTTTTTCAAATTTTGGAAAAAATCTCGATAATTTATTTTTGACCGGACATGGCTAGAATGATTCCCCTGTTGATGCCGATCAAGAAAATATATGATTTATAGGGTCGGAAATGAGTCCTTCACATAGTTTCAATCATCTGACTAAAGGTATAATTTCCTTTAGCCACATTTTCATTAGACCATTTTTGGCGCAAAATCGAAGTTTAAAAAGTTCATAACTAAGCCAAAAATGCATTAATTTCAATTCGGAAAACGGTTCTATTTACGTTGTTATTTGGTTTATAAATCTGCATACTCAATTTACAATTCTAAAAAAGTGCAAAGCTAAAAATTTCTGCCTTCCTTGAGTCAATATTTAGCCACCTTTTTATTTGACAATTTTTTCTAGAACTCATAGTTTAAAATTTTCATAACTAAGCCAAAAATTCATTATTTTCAATTCGGAAAACGGTTTTATTTACGTTGTTATTTGGTTTATAAATCTGCATACTGAATTTACAATTTTAAAAAAGTGCAAAGCTAAAAATTTCTGCCTTCGTTGAATCAATATTTAGCCACACTTTTATTCGACCATTTTTGGTGGAAAATCGCAGTTTAAAAAGTTCATAACTAAGCCAAAAATGCATTAATATTAATTCGGAAAACGGTTTTATGTGCGCTGTTATTAGGTTTATAAATCTGCATTCTCAATTTACAATTTAAAAAATGTAACGGTCATTAAAAGATTATAAATTATTTAGGCTTAGAAAAAGTTAAATTATAAATTATAAATCCATAAATACACAATCGGAACTCAATATTTTGTCTAAAACTTAGAAAACAAAACAAAAAATAAATCTATTTTAATGTAATTGGCACTATAGCCTTATCTTACCTTAAAGTATATGTGTTAATATATTATATTTATATATAGAAATATAGATTGCAACATATTTTTACAAATGCATACACAGACAGATTTAAGAATAGATGAAAGGCTCTCCATTTCAAGATTTTGTTACCTGTTTTTAAAAACTTGTATGCTCCTTCATAGTATTTTATTCTATATTTGAGTAAAAAGGCCTTTTAATTAATTTAAATTATTTTAGTTATAATGTATAATTGGCATTGTTTATATATATGAATATATATTCCAAATTAAATCTGATAAGCTGCATTTTGTTTTCTATTGCCGAGAACACATTTGTTTTTATATCAGCAAATTCATTCACTAAGTTATTATTAATATTATTTTTTATTTACAAAATGTTGAGGGTTTAAATAATTATTTATTTATTTATTTAGTAAAAGATATTTTATTATATCAATATTAACATAAACCTTTCTTAGTGTTTCCTAATAAAAGATTTTCAGGGATAATATATTCTATAGTAATCCAAACCAATAAATAATTTTAGATCTATAGTGTCCTTTTCAGAATTACAGCTTGGAGTTTTCCACTAAAAGTATATGTAATTATAAGTGGTAATCAGGTCTAAGTTTCCGAAACTATAACTTCTGTACCTCAAATTAAATCCCATGGAATTTGCATAAATTAAAATGTATATTTTGCCCATACAATACTCAATAAAATTAAACACCTTTTAGGGTCTGCTTTCCCTGTTGCGCAAACTGAGACCCAATCCGGAGAAGGAGGCCCGCATCCTGCTCCTGGGACTCGATAATGCCGGCAAGACGACAATATTAAAGCAACTGGCATCGGAGGATATAACCACGGTTCGTATGATAGCCGCAAACTGCTTCCGTTTGCCCCATAAAATTCGGAGTGAACCCCTGCAGGTAACACCCACGGCCGGATTTAATATCAAGTCTGTGGCAGCCGATGGATTCAAGCTGAATGTATGGGATATTGGTAGTCAGTGGAAGATCCGACCCTATTGGAAGAACTACTTTGCCAATACGGATGTGCTGGTGAGATCGTATACTACTTTTTCTTTATTTTGTTTAATTTAAAATTGTATTTTGTGGCAGATCTATGTTATTGATTGCACGGATCGGGCTCGTCTTCCGGAGGCGGGCAGCGAACTGTTTGAGATGCTAATGGACAATCGATTGAAGCAGGTTCCCGTCTTGATTTTCGCCAACAAACAGGACATGCCCGATGCCATGAGTGCCTCCGAGGTGGCCGAGAGGATGAGTTTGGTCCAATTGCAAGGACGAACCTGGGAGATTAAGGCCTGCACCGCTGTAGACGGAACTGGACTCAAGGAGGGCATGGATTGGGTGTGCAAGAACATGAAGAAGTAATCCAGTTTTAATTTGTTAAGTTGAGTAATGCTATCTCTAAGATTCAAATCATAAATATATGTACTTTTAATGTCAGATAATTAAGACTTTTGTTTTATATTTTATTTATTTCCAAAGAGCTCAATTGTAACACAAACATATTAATAAACACAATAAATCTAATAACTAAGTAGCAAATGTTTTTTAATTCAATTCTCTTTCCAAACATAATTGCTTAACTATAAACCCAAAAGTGTGACTAGAAATACAATACCCATGTGCTTTCACGGACCCTTGTCGCTTATTCTAAGGGTCCTGCCCACGGGCTCTCAGAATAATAATCTCCTGATCCTGGGCCTGGACAATGCTGGAAAATCCACCTTAACAGCACGTCTCTCTGAGATCTTTAATGGCAAAGTAAGTTAAGGGAAAGCTGAAATCATTCCCTTTTACCCCAAAGAATCTTTCAGGGCAAGGAAGCCACTGCTCAGGCCAGTGAGTGGAGATTAAGGATCAATAATTCCAAGGTCAAGTTGTGGGATATTAATGGGGAACTGAAGAACAGGCAACTTTGGCCCAATTATTACCAAAAGGCTAGGATTTTGGTGAGAGAAATAGCTTAAAAGGTCTAAGGATACCGCTCTGAATTGTATATTTGCAGATTTTTGTAGTAGACAGCAAGGATGCAGTGCGTCTCAGCGAGGCTCGTTGTGTCCTATGCGATGTCCTTTTGCATGAGGAACTAAACAAGGCTGCGCTCCTAATTGTATCCAATAAAAAGATGCCCAGGGATCTTTGCCCATGTCCACAATCGTGGATTTAATGGGTCTTGATCAATTGCAGGGCAGGGAATGGACTATTAAGGAGTGTTCCTTGCAGACTGGCGATGGCGTTCAGGTTTGATAAGGCTCTAAGCTGAAAGCTAACTAATTTATTAATTTAGTTAATTATTAGGAAATTGTGAACTGGATTACCAGCAAGACCAGCAAGGCCAAGAAGTGAAGTTTATCAGTTTTTGCATTTTTAGATATTGTACAAAAATTGTTCTATTTATATTAAATGTCTACTAAAAATTGGTAGTGCATACAAGAATTAACGACATATTGTATCTGTAATTCAATTTAAATTATTTAAAATATATCACATTTTTAAAAGTCAGTTTTGATTTCTCCACTGGTGGTTAATGAAAGCCATAGTAAGGCCAATCGATCGTCCCACACAATGCCGGTCCATCTTGCCTGCCGAGATGCACTGCCTTAACTGGTCCACCACATGATCCTGGATCTGGTTCCTAATCTCCAAGCTTTCAATCCTTTTCAATTGCTTCTCTACCTTGTGGAGAAGAGGATATGCCTCCCGATGATCGGCCACATCACAGGGCCAGATAGAAGAGTGCAAGTGTGGTCCATATCGAGTGGTGCGTCTTGAGTCCTGGTAGTCCTCCAGGTAGTCCTCCCTTGATCCACTCAAATTCCTGGCCTGCACCAAAGCCAGGGTGGAGATCAAGAGAATCACCAGTATGGAACGCATTGTAAAGATGGTTGTGGTTTTAAGTAAACTAAGTAAATAGATGCCTCTCCTTTGGCTTTTATAGGAAAGAGATAATCACAAAGGCAACATAGTTGCATATATGTATATAAAGATTAATGGAAACGTCAGAGATAAGGTAATCCCAAGTCAGTCAGGTTAATGAATTGCAAGGCTTGTAGTCTGCCCGAGTCGAAAATAGCAAAATAAATACTTATTTGTATGGTATATATTTCCTTTGCATATTTTATTTACATTTATTGCAATTAAAGATTCGACTTTTAAACCAATTCAAAAATATATAAAGTAGCTTTTAATAATTTTCCAAAATCATACTAAACTCTCTTAAAATCAAAAGACCAACGCAAAGAATTAAATATAGGATAAAATAAAATAAACTTCCTAGATCCCAGTCTAACCCTTGGCGCCCGTATCATAATGTCCTTGAGGGTGATGCTTCTCAATTTTCTTTTGCTCTTTGCGCAACCGCATCGCCTCCATTTTAGCAAATTTACTACCCAAGAAAAGTTGCTCCTTGTACCTGTTCTTCCGTCGCTCGTCCATGTTGTATCGCCTCAACATATCCCGCCGATCCACAATTGACATGAAGATGTCCTGGCAGTCCCGTGAAGGCTGACAGAATGTCCAGGAACCAAAAATGGTATCCAAGCAACCACAATTGCGACAATAACCCACAAAGTGTCCAATCAGATTGGAGTTATTTTTGCGAAAGGATAGGGAAATGGGTCCGCCGAGGATCATTTGAGCCGTTCCCGCGAAATGCCAGTCGGTGAGATTGTCAAGAAGATCATGATCTCGCGGCGGTACGGTTTCCTGTACACTGACATTCAACGGAATACCCGTAGTCTTCGGGTTCGCCGCGTCGGCAATTTTCTTCAACTTCACGGGATCCTTCTTGACGCACTGACGCCGACTGCGTTCATGACGGTGATCAACGAACTTGGCACGTCCGGTTTTGGGTTGACAGCAGATGGGCACCGGCTTATCCTCCTGCAAGGCTGGATTTGGGGATTTGATATTGATGCGGATACCAAGGACTAGGGACTCCCAGGAGCCATTAATGTCGCAGGGTGCACCTGTAATGAAGAATGTTTTGAACTTGAAATTGTATTTAAGAGGAATTCTAATAAGGAAGGGTATAACTTGGTATTTTAAAAGTGAATTAATGGTAGAGAATTATTAATTTGTGTGTCAGACATAAGGTCTTACCATCTTACCATCAGCGGGGTCGACAAAACAGCAGGGCAGGTTCTCCTCCTCCTCCGTCGATTTATTGCATTTGGTGGCCTGAATGGACTCCAAACGCTGCAGGATCTTGTCTAGAACGGGGGAAATCTCAACTGGCTGCTGCTGGCTATCCTGCGTTTGACATGTGGCTGGGTTTGGAATTTCGGGGCATTTTGGAATAGTGCCACATCCGAGCTGGCTTGCTTTGAAAAGGAATATCTCATGAGTTGAAAAGAGTATATAATAATGCACAAACTTACCTGATTGACACTGGGGTACTGTCAGTCGGGGATAAACAGCTGGAGCAGCTTGACCCACACCCACAATCCTTCGAGCCATCTCGATGGGCGATACATTCAATTGGCTGGCCATATTGCCCAGGACATTTGCCGGAATTTGTTGAGCTTGATTGACGAGAACCTCGGGAAAGGGCACTGTTCCTAGATTATTCATATTAGTATTCCTCTTCGGGGTCCATGGCAAAGGTGGTGTATTCCTTTTTAGTGCCCTGGGGCAAGGTGAATTCTCATTGTCCTTGGCATCCTTCCACCAGTTCTGCTTGTTCTTCAAGGCCTCATTAAGGCTCTCGACTTGCTTCTGATACTCCTCTAGCAAGTTGAAGAATGAGGCATTCTTAATGGCCTTAACACCATTGCTAATTTGCTTTGAATACTCTTCGGAATATATGTCCTTACTGGTAATAAATGGCTCTTTGGGGAAATTTTTTGAACAGGCTTCTTCAGATTGGTAGTCTCTTGTTTGGGAAAGTCTTTATTAATATTCTTGGAATCTACTCCGGAATACCAGTCCTTCCAGGGACTAATACACTCTTTGGAGTCTGTATTTTGCGCAGGCTTTTTAAAATTGGTAGTATCCTGTTCAATAAAGTCTTTGCTATTGTATTCGCCAGGTTTTTCCTTTTCAAAGACATAATTTTCTTTGTTGTATGACTTTTTAGGAGCCTCGGAAACACCTGGCTTAATCAAGGGAATATCATTATGCACAAGCTGACGGCTTTTGGCCATTGGTATATAATAGGGCTTTGAGCCGCCATTTCGACTACTCTCCTTATTCATTTTAACAAAGGCTTGTAGCGCCTTCAAATAGCTCTTGGTCTTAATATAACCTTCCAGCGGATGTTCATTTATTTTGGTCGGATTCCTATTCGCCTTTACGACATCCAATTGCCTGGGATGTTTGTGATCACTTAATATCCTATAGAAACCCTTCTTGTACTCGTCGTAAAGTTTTCCAGCCTTGATCTGAGATTTCCTTGACTTTAAGTCAGCCAAGATATTCTTAAACGCGGAAGAGGCATTGGTAGCCTTCACATCAAACAAACCGGAAAGATCATTTTTGATAATACCTTTCAGAGAGGCTCTACTTTCCGACACTAGTTGGGCATCTTGATTGATTTGCTTTGGCAGATTGGGTTCCATTTCCTGACTGATTTGTTTGGCCAAGTCTTTTACCAAATTACCTTGCTGGAAGTGCTCAAGAACATTAATTAAATCATTAAGAGCACTTAGCTTTAAGCCTGAAAAGCTAAATGTTCTGGTAGGTGCACTATTTTGGTAAATTTGATTTGGATATGGCTGTTGCCAGGCTTTCAGATAATCGTTGTATATGCGATTAAGTTCAATAATTCGCTGGATTTTGATATCCTGTGGAAGCGGTTTATTCAATGGTCCCATCTTGAGACCTTTGATTGGCTTATTCCATTTTGGTGAAGTCACAGAGGCTTTTCCTTGGGGTTTTTCTTTGAGCTTCTTTAGGTCAATCTTGTGCCCTTCCGAGAGTGTCTTTTCCACAGCTTTTTCTTTAGAGTTCTTCAAGTCAATTTTGTTTTTTCTCTATCCATTTGAATTTTTTGAGGTCATCGGAGGGTTTCCTATCGGAGCTCTCAATAACCTTTTCGATCGCTTTGATCTTTTCCTTCTTTTTAAAGGCCGCCGGGCCATGCACTGTGACCTTGCCTCGCTTCGATCATCGGTGGCATCATACTTGATAACCGGAGGATTTACAGATCCCTTCTCCTTATTTTCCGATTTTATTAGTAAGGCACTAATTGGACCTATATACTTTGCATTTGGGGACGACGAGGCCATCTTTGCTTTCCTCTGGACCGCACCGTCCCCAAACTTTAGAAGATCCAAATATCCTTCACAGAGCCTGTGGGCATGGTATGGAACCTCATCGTCCCCATCCTCCATTCTCGACCATGTCGAAGTCTCTTTATGTGTTAACGCCTCTTGATTTGTATCCTGTCCCATTTGCGTTTCGAGTAGAATGGATCCAGTTAGTAGTGGAAAGATTATAAACAGAAAGCCGGTTATCATAAGCAGATAATATCTAGACATCTCCTCATATTGTTTCTTCCAGCTCACGGTATTTTACTCGAATGTATTACAGCTTTTAATTTTATTTTGTTTTTATGATTTGTGATCTAATAATGACATTATTCGAAAACATATTTAGATTGGTATTTTTGAGTTTTAGTTTTAGGGGATTTCAGTGGTTTTTGGTGAAGCTTTTAATGAGGGTTGATTTTGGGTCGATTTTTAAATAAGGGTTTTAGAGGGGCTTCAAAATAAAGTGTCTTAACAGGATGTTATAATAGGAGTTTTGAAGGCGTTTTGTTTGGTATACTTTCTCCATTCTTAAAATATGTTATAAGCATAATTTTTAAATTTTAAATTCCTAATCTGCTAGGGCTAATTTCAATGATCTTGTTGTGTGTTTCTCTACATGTTTCCAACAACATTTGACTTTATTTAGGCGATGCACAACATGTTCTTAGCAACATATTTTCTTCAATAGTTTTCTTGATTGTTCTTTACTTATTTTTCAGACAAAATACGTAAAAAGTACTCAGAAGAACAATTACAAAACTAAATAATGATTTTTATTAAATTTAGGTAGGACAAAAAATTTGGAATTATTTCTTCAATTAATATGATTTGGAATGGCACTATGATATGGTCTTGTTATCCCCATTAAAGGCCTCCAAGGAGTTGTCTCCCAGATACATCGCATCGCTGTTCATCTCGCCGGCGTGTTTATCTTTTTTCTCAAGACTTTCATCTTGGTCTGGTATCTGCTTGAAGGGATAATAGATATTCCCATGTGCATTGTAGGTCTCCTTGATCACCTGTGGTGAGGTCCACCGCAGCAGGGAGAAAGGACTTCCCAGTTTATCGCTGGTACCGGTCATATGACCCGCTCCAAAAGGCTGCTGTCCCACAATGGAACCCGTGGATTTGTCATTGACATTCAGGTTACCCACATTGGAGCGGAAGGCCGCGTAGGCCTTCGTAATAAAGTCCTTATCTCTGGCAAAAACAGCTCCAATTAGTCCATGATTAATCTCCGCTACCTTGGCCATTGTCTCTTCAATCTGGTCGTCGGGATAAACGTAGACACCTAGAATGGGGGCCAGCAGTTCCTCCTTACAGATGATATTATCCAGATCTTTGACCAGCACCACCGTGGGATCCACATAGTAACCCCGCTGCTTGTTGCACGTTCCACCGGTAAGGAGCTCACAGCTTGGACTCTGGGTAATGTATCTCAGCCACATGAAGATGCGATCGTAGGCCTTTCGATTGATCACCGCCGAGCAGAAGCAATCACAGTAGGTGGCATGGCCAACGCACAAGGAGGCGGTGGTGTTCACCAATGGCTCCATTATTTGATCCTTCCACAGCGATTCCGGGACATACAACATCGAGCAGGAGGAGCACTTCTGGCCGGCATACTCGAAGGCCGATCTTATGGTACAGGCCACCACTGTGTCGGGATCCGCTGAGGGATGTACAAAGTGGAAATTCTTGCCACCACCTTCACCAACCAATCTTGGATAGTTCTCGTAAAAGTTGAGATTCGAGGCAACCAATTGCCACAGCACCTTGAGCACCGCTGAAGTCCCAGTGAAGTTGATACCTGCCAGCTTTGAATGTTGAGTCACCTCGGTGGCAAAGGTTATCTCATCGGCTGGCAAAAAGTTCACAACACCATTGGGTAAACCTGCATCACGCATTGCCTCGAAAACGTAATAGTTGGAAAGAATGGCCGAATCGGAGGGTTTCCACAACACCGCATTGCCCATCAAGGCAGGCATAAAGGCCAGATTGGCGGCTAAGCCGGTATAGTTGAAAGGACTAATGGCAGCCACAAAGCCTGAAAAATTCACAATAATTACATCTGTAAATAAATTTCATAAGAAACAACATACCTGTAAGACCTCGTAGTCTCATTAAATTCCTGCAGGCTCCTGGTGAATCATTGATCGGTTCGTAGTTGGCCAATTCCCGCAAAAAGATGGGATTAATCCACATTAAATCCACCAACTCGGCCACATCCTCCTCCGCCTGACGAAGGGTCTTGCCCTGGCCAAGCATTGTGGCCGCTACGATGTCAGTGCGATATCTGCCGGCTATTAACTTTGCTGCTCTTTCCCAGATTGCAATCCTTTCACTCAGCTTGGTCTTGTCCCATTCCTCCTGCGCCTGCAGAGTCTTTTCGATGGCCACATTAATAAGGACACGGTGGGCATGGCTATAGCGGGCAATGGGCTGCTGAAAATTGTAGGGGAGAACCTGTTGAAACTCTTCAGTGGCAGAGTACTCCTGGCCATCGATCACGATGGGCACAGGCTCCACTTTGTTAAGGATACCCAGCAGGGCGAACTCAAGGTCAGTTCGCTCTTTGGAACCGACCTCGTAGGTAAGCAACTGCTCATTGGACACCGAGGACTCCTTGAGGTTAAAGCGCTCCGTCAGCGAGGGTTTTCTGCTTTTGTTACGTAAAGCTGAAAGACTGTGTAAAGGATTCATTATTCTATTCGAATTATATTTTATTGTAAATTAAATATAAATTTCTCTCGCATTTGAAGTAAGAAATATATCGATGGCTTGGCTTGTCAAAAAATATTTAATTTCAATTCGGAAATCTTCTTTGTGTTAATTTTTAATAGGTAAACAAATCTGCTTACTAAATTAAAGATTTTATAAAAATTAAAAATTTTGTCAATTTTTTTAAATTTTTTCCCCTTATTGTTTTTAATAAATTTGAATCAATTTCGAAAATTTATTTTTTGATCGGACATGTTTAGATCGACTCGGCTTTTAATTCTGATCAAGAATATATATGATTTGTAGGATCGGATATGAGTCGTTCACTGAATAAAATTATAATACTCTCCGAAGAGTTATAAAAATCTTAAATGTATATGATTAATCATAATAACACCACTAAATCATAATATAATATGAATCCCTGAAACCCTTCCAAAGTATTATAAATAATAATATTACATTCACAATCGCTTTAATAACACAAAATATTTTCAAATAAATACATACATATGTAAGTTGTGGGAAAAGCTTATATTTTTCAGAGCAATATTAAAAAAAGCTTTATTTTTAGCTTTCCTATAAACATCGGACAATATTCATTCCTATCTCTATCGATACCAAATCAGCTGTTAAACGATATACTTTCAAGAATAGTAAACAATCTCTGGTCCCAGCTGCTATTGTTATTATTTTGTGATGCAATAAGGCATAAAAAATTGTTTATAAAATGCAACTCACCCGCCTGTTACTGAAGCCTCGAGCCTCAGAAGTCCTGACCGCATATTTAAAACAATGCCATGAGCCACCTTGGACATCATATTTCGTCAAGGTATGTAAAAGTCTCTCCGTTGGATTAAGGCAATTGAGCTTAAATTGAATCCTATTCACTAAGTAAAGTTGCGGGATGTGACCAATGATCAGAGGGGAATGTCGCACTTTAACTGGACCCTGGACAGTGGAACCAATTACCACATACTCCGCACTGCCTGCTATCCGTATATGAAGTATCACTGTAGCAAGAGGGAAGTACAGGATCTTTGGCTGGAGGACAAGTTCTTTCGATTCCTAAAGGTCATCAATTTGGGTGAGTAAGAGATAATTAATCAATTATAAACCATTTCAATATATATTATATTAAACTCTATATACTCTATTTCAGGCTTACCTATGCTATTCTATGGACTGGCTGCCATTCGCCTAATTAGCCACACAGAGATTGTTCATGTCAGTGAGACGGTGAAGGTTCCCATATATTTCTTGTATGCCGAGGATAAAGGTGCCAGTTTTTGAATTGAATTTGTAAAAGGCCAAAAATGAAAGGAAAACTACAGCCTTCTCATTTATGTATGTACATATTTATTAAAGTTTAACAATTATTGAGGGCAACAACTTAACATATTTCGGGGTCTTTTGAAGTTTAGTTTCTGGAGATTCAAGAACAATTGCTTAAGAAGGAATATAAATCAATAGAGGAGAAGCCTCTAAGATTTATTTTTTTGGCCAACTTTTTATCCACTTATGTCTTTTTAAGGTTTATTGCTTAAGCCCTAGGTTTTGGGTATTAAGTAATAAATATTTATCCTTCACTTCTGTTCAATCCTTAAGATATATGTCCAGCTACTTTCCCTTATTTAAAACCTAACAATTGCTTTGTATTGACCAGAGATTAAGAGACACCTTAGATAAACCGAGTTATAACAATCACCAAGGTTCAACAATGGAAGAAATTTCAGTTTTTGCAATCAGTCGGATGATTCTCACAGGTCTCATCATAATTATCCAGAAGCAAGGACTTGACTGAGGCCTCGAACTGGGTAAGCGAGCAAGGTGCATCGCAATTGGGAATGGTCAGCTCCTTGGGGAACTTATCCTCACTGTTATAGTAATAAACGAGCTGGAAAAATATTTAAAAAATATAGGAAATACATAATTATTAAATCAATAACCAACCTTCACTTCAAAATCAGTATCGGCGAATGACTTGCTGTGATGCAGCTCAAAGGCCAAAGCCGAGGCATATTCAGGTAGATTTGTAGTCTGATCAAGTATTCCCAATGCGTTCATCACATTAACCATGGTAACATCATGTCCGGAATACAGAAATATCTTTCGATCGGGATTTAGGTTCCTCTTCCGCTTATTTTGCATTTTCAAGAGTATTTCGGTAAGGAAGGCGCCACCCTTGATCCTCTTCATCAGATTGGTTTCAGTGAAAAGGGTATAACTCCGCTCGGCCAAGGGTCTAATCTCCTCGGGATATATATTCTCCGTCCAATCGGGCAAAACCAGACCAGCCTCCTCTTCGGTTTTCAGAGTGCCATACAACAGTTCCACATCCAGGACATTGGAAATGTTCTGTGACAAAGGAATTATATTAGCATTAACTTATAAATTGAAAACTGAAGAACCTAACCCACCTTGCCTGTATTTTTGGTCAGTAGTTTATACAATTCCAAATTCTCCTCGTTTAGTTTCTGGAGTTCCGCCGGCGGTGACTTGTAGAGCTTCTGTAAGATGTGATCATACTTCAGGCAGGGTTTTTTTTGGGCCAGTAACTGTAATAGAAATAAAATTAAAAATAATTATGATGACTTGCACTTGGTTTATGGTTAAATTGCACTTACGATATCATCATTACGCGCCAACGTATTCACTGCCACCGGCTGCCAGGGTATTGGCAACACATTGTTATTCTCCAGCGGCGGCATCATGCCAGCCAAGACGCTTTGGGCGCTCATCTAAAAGATAACAACCAACCGGCCAACTGATTAGGGCTCCCCCATCGCGGACAGATAGCTATAGCTATGTCATATATATATACATATATGTTTATATAGTTATCGGAACGATTGACGCACCACACAGCGCTCAGCAGCTGAGCTGAGCACATGGACCTGCTGTTGCGTGTAGAGGCTGTTCGAGGGCAGGAGACGGTAGTAGCGCATGCGCAGATTCCTTCCCAGATTATAAGCTTGGAGAGTGCCTTTCTGTGGGTTTGAAGAAGATATTATAATATTATTAAATTCTATTTGGTTTTTATTATATTAACATAACGTTTACTATAAATAATTATTATGTTAATATAATGCTTGATATAAAGAATCATGGTCTGATTGTTGATGGTTCTAATTCAAATACTGAAGGCTTATCATGTGAAAACCAATTAAAGTATATACTACTGGTATTAATGATCTTAATAAAATAACAGCAACTATTTTAGTTTTACAGCTCAAGTACTAAGTGCTTACTGATTAGTTTAAAAAACAGAGGAGCTACCTTAAATTAATGTTCTTTATATAAATATTATTTTTATACCTTTGAAGGGTATTCTGTTATAATTTCAGTCAGAAGTTTATAACAATGTGAAGGAGTCATTTACGACCCTATAAATCATATACATATGTATGTTTTTGATCAGCATTAACAGTTGAACATTAACAGTTACATCATTAAAATTGTCAAAAATTGATCAAAGTTAAAATTGTTTAATTATTAATTTGAGTATTAAGAATTAATAAAAACTGATATAGGAAAGCTTACCGAATTTAAATTTAAGCATTTTTGGCTTAGACAAATAGTTTATTTTTTGAAACTTTGATTTATGGTAAAAATTGTCATATAAAAATACGGATAAATATTTATTTTAAAAATGCAAATAATTTCAGCTAAGTTATAATCGATTTCCTATAAATTACTTGCAAACTGCAAGGGTATACAATGATCGGCTCCCCGAAGTGTGTTGCCTTTTTTGTTTACTACATAGTTGCTATACAAAAAATGTTATAGCATATCTCTTTATTGGAACTCAATTGAAACGATTAATTTGGTGGGTTTAATTAATTAGAATAGTTACCATTTTAATTTCTTATTATTGAAATTAAAACTCTATAAAATCATTTACTTACCGGTGTTAGAGCTCCCAAGCCTCCCTGCCAGTCGTGTGCTGCATGGGGATCCAATGGGTAGAGGCCAGAGGGATTCTTGGCTCCATGTCTAAACAGCTGTGAGATTGATAAAAACACAATATGCTTAGCTATAGCTCACTCTCGGATATATATATTTATATGTTTATATGTTTTGCTCTCGGGGCTTACTTACTATGGATATCATGCGTAGATTCCGCAAGCCCTGCTCATCGTTGCTATCACCGAACACAAAGTATGCCATCATAACGAAACACAGGGCGCTGCCCAAGGCGATCACCGATATTTTGGTGCCGCGTCGCGATTTGCAGTCCATTATGTTGGATCCGGGCCTTTGCTCCTGCTGCAGTTCGATCAAGAAAATATACTTAAGATTTGCAGCCTATAAATAGTTTTTTGTTTATTTTATAGCGAGTGTATTCCGCTGACCCGCTCTATCTATACAAAATATTGAACAAAAACAAGTCACGTCCGATGGCAACAAAAGCCGTACAACAACTGAGCAACTGAGAAACCAAGGCAGCTGAGCAACTAAATAAACTGAGCAACTGACCTAGAAAGAGAGGTGGCTACCCATTCTGAAAGAGAGAGGGAGCTATAGAGAACAGGGGAGCCTAGAGATAGAGCAAAGGTGAGAGTCAAAGAGATAGCAATTCAAGAGATACGAGCACCTGAGAGGGAGAGGGAGAGTGAGGTCTCTGCCAACATGTGCGAATAATTAAATTAGTTGCTCAATGCCCGAGTGTAAATTAGGTCTCGACTGAGTGCTACTGTGTACTATATGGAGAGGGGGTGCATTCAATTTACACTTATGTGAGGATTACATTACCTTTGTCTTATCTTATTATTTAAAGTTTAGGTTGCTTGTTTTTTAACTTTTAACTAGCTACTTAATTATTATTGCCATGTTACAAGGTCTCCTCTATGACAATTCCCAATAAAATGAGATATTTGGGAAAAGTTATTATTTAAATGAAAATATTATAACTGTATAAATTAACCACGGAAAATTAAGAAGGGTTGAACAATACATTTTTGTTTCTTATTAATTTGAAATAATTTAATAAAATGAGATAAACACTTATCAAAAATTATTATTATGAATTAACACGAAAGCAAATATTTCCAAATTATTTGGATTTAAATATTAATGATAATAATAATTTTTTTATTTAAGTTAAGAATAAAAAAGTTAGGAACTAACTCCTATATGAGATCAATAATATCGCGCTAAATAAAATATCAATATTACAAACTTTGATAAACCGGAGTTTAGTTATACAACATATTTGCATTTAAGGTATAAATAAAGATATTATAAATAGGAAATATCCTAAATATATTATTATATTCCATTGTCTCTCGTTGAAAGTATATAGTTATGATATATCAGAGTATTGATTCATCTTACATACATGTACATTTATTACTCTGCATATATCCTTTTCCGTTTCATTCTTTAACCTCTTTGAAGATATTTTAATAATATAAAAAAAGAACATACAAGACTATCTCTATAAAATGTATTTGGCTTACTTTCAAATTGCAATGACAAATCGAATTTGAACAGTTCTACTTTATGCATGAATACATCTCGACATGTAGAAATAATTCGATATGGGGATATATGCAATTACATATATCATCCCATATATCCTAGAATTGTTCTAGTATTTCCTATGGAGCAGCTCCTTCCTCATCCGATAGTTCGCTGGTGGGTTCCTCAACAAGATAACCCTGTTTGGACTTATAGATCCGCTTGTGCGTTCGCTTCTTTCGCTTTGGGATTACCTTAGCCTGCGTTGCTTTAGATTCCGAGACATCGGTGATCACCACGGTGGATTTCTGCTGCTTCTCACTTGCCTGATCCGGTTCCGACTCGGATTCCTTCTCTTCCCCAGGAGGAAGAGCCAGACAAAAACCGTTGAGTGGAACAGCAAACCCATAAGCCTCCTCATCATTGGTGAAGTGATCTTCATGCATCTGACGGAAGTTCGGAACCGATTGAAGAGACTGGAGTCGATAAGAGGTCATCTCCTCCTCTTCATCTTCCTCCTCCTGAAATTGCGGCAGAGTTGTATAAAACAAACTTGAGTTTACATTTTGGCGGGTGGGCAGAGCCAGGTGGGAATCCACATCCGACACGTAATTGATAACGCCACCCAAGGGTCCAGCTACATAGGTGACATTATTCTGCACGGGAAGAGAGCACCAATTGGACGAGGGGCCGCTGGGCAAGATCGGTTCCCAGCTATACGCACTCGGCGTGGATATGGCACTGTGGGTCACCGGGTAGTCATAGATGCCGGGCGTAAAGTACCCATAGTAAGTGCTATGGTCAGACATTATATCCCGATCTATTCCTGGCTAATTGGGTTGGGATTGAGACCTATCCTGGTATTTTCTAGAGATCCAATAAACGGTACCAAGCCAGTTCGAATCAGATTGAATAGATGAAGATGCTGCTCTGTGAATAATTGCTATAATGCCCAAAATGAGGACTCTGTATCTGTAGGAAACGGAGACGGATGGGAATTTGGAATTTGATAGAAGTAGAAGGTAAATTTTGAACTGTGCCTATGTAATATGTATTATTAATATTCAAACACATTCAACCTACTGGCAAAAAAATGACAGGTTGCTAGAAATGTCATGTACAAAAAGGTTCTAATTTCCAAATAACTTCTCAGATATTAATGCATTAATATAATATTATAAATAAAAATAGAAGAAGAATTAGGTATAAAAATCTTTTAGTTTTAAATTTCTTTTTTTAACGTAAATATAACATTTGTATTCTTTAAACGAATTTTGAAACAAATTCGAGTAACAAAATCATATTCTATGCTTCTTAAACCTTAAATATAACTTGATTTTAATATATAAAAATACTATATAATATTTTTAATATTTTTACTTAAATTACTAACATCATGTTTTTAATTTTGGAATATTTTTACGTTCTAGTTTCTTCTTAAAAACTAATTATATTTCTACAAAACAGTCTTTAGTTCTAACCATAATAAGCGTAATGCAGCATAATTCAGGAATCTTGCAAAACAAAGCCTCAGTGTCCGCCTAGGACACATCGTTCAGTGTCCAGATCCTCATCCGAATCCATTCCCTGACACTTTCCATGACCATGTCCCGCCGAACAGTGTTTGTAGAGCAAGTAACTTAGCCACACGATAAGTGGTAGCAATGCCAGGCCCAAGGGCATGAGGAAAAGCAGTAGGAACTCCAGAGGATCACTGGTTGAAACTCTCTCCTCGTCATTGTCATAGTCCACCCAGTACTCCTTCTCCTGACCCAGTTCCTGCTCCTCTTCCGGATCGGGTAACACCTCCAGGAATGCCTCCCGTATCTTGTGACCCCGATAACTGATGGCCACGCAGGCGTAGTGACCGGCATCCCTGAGCCTCACACCATCCAGGATCAACTTGCTGAGATACATTTGTGATCCCACTAGCTTCTCGGGGGCAGCGGGCAGAAGTTCATAGGTTCTGCCATTATAACGGACAATGTGTGTGCTGAAATTCGAGGCACTCATTGATGTGGCAGCCTCTCCACCCGACTGGGAAGTGCTCATAAAGGTGTGTCGCTTGAACCACTTGATAGTGGGATGCTCCTCGCTGTGCACCCGACATTGGAACACCACCCGGCTGCCCAGAAGAGCTGTTTTATTATTGGGATACGAGTCCACAAACTCAGGAGCAGCCAGAGAGGTATCTACCATAAAAGATTGAGAATATTAATTTAAAGTTTTCTATATATTTAAGGGAGTTTCTTACTCTTAACATCCAGTTGATAAGTACGAACCAGCTGCACATCTACAGCCTGGGTTCTATCCCAAATATGGGGATTTATACTACATTTATAGAGTCCCGAATAACGCTCTGTGACATTACGAAGCCAGAGTTCAGGTCGACAAAGACTAGGCTCACAGGGCAAGGCAGTCCACTCTTCTGCAGACTCCAACTGATGACAATTGTTGTCGCTGCATTGCTACATAAATATTCAAATTCATTTATATTAAAAAAAAATATATATATATATATTATAAATTATACAAAATAAATACCTTAAAGTACCAATGTATCTTAATGTCAGATAACATACTCTCGTCCACTAATCCTTTGAGATTGCACTGCAGCTTGACATCAAAGCCGGCTCTTTGCTGTATAAGTTCAGTGTTTTCTGCACCAAAAAAAAGAAAAACAAACCAAACCAAACAATTCAATCAAGGCAATGGCAAAAAAATTGTTTACTATTTTCCATGCCAATGATGATAGCCAAATTGACAGTATCTTATCAAGCATTCAAATGTTCTAACCGAAATTGCGATTAACCTTCCATTCCAAAAACATTTTGACGAATGAATGCGGAAACGTGGAGTTACAAAGAGCTTTCTTTGTGAAGTGATGAACTAGTTTGTCATTCAAATAAATACAATTTTACTTAAATTAATAAGCATTAATCAAAAAACCCTAACTAAACCTTTTGCAACATACAATATTAAACCAAAACTCTGCTCTAGAACTTATTAAATATAGGCAAATAAATAATATAAACCCAATTACTTATTATATTTAATTTTGTTATAGAATTTCCAATCCCAGCTCACCTGTATAGTCCACAAAGAAACCTGTGGTTCGATCCAAACCGCAAATACAAATGAGAATCAATAGCCAATAGATGTGGCTAGATCTCAAATCACAAATCATTGGATCCATTTCCATTTAGCATTTCCACGACATAGTTTTGTTATCTCTAAAAGGAACCTGTCGAACGATTTTGATTAGTTAGTTTGGTCTCTGCAAGAATTTATTTATTTGTATTCCACTTTTGGGCCGGCCATTTGTTCATTTCCCTCCTAAATGATCGATTTTCATTTAATTTCTTAGCAAACATTCGTGGCTCTCCTCGATTGTATTTATTTATTTATTTATTTGGTCTACGCGATTGCATTTCCACTCGGCTCGAGCATATTTTTCACACATTTTATTGTGCGCTGTGTCGATGGCGATGAGTGTAAAAATCCCACTTTTGTTTATTTACTTGGCCATTTGAAGCGAACGGGTGCTCTACATTGGCCCACAAACAAGTGTGTGTACAAACTAAAGGCCCAAATCCTTGGTGCTCACTCATATATAACATATATATATATATATATAAATTATCAGAAATTCGCTTCTCATTTATTAATAAATAGTGAGTGCCATTTATGCAACAATAAATCATTGCCGTACCGATAATGCCGACTATTTATCAATTGGAGAAGGGGAACCTTACGGGGGCACTCAATAGATCGCAAAGTGCATAGAAGAACTCTTAGTTGTATTTCAAAATTAATGTCCCAGTTAGGAACCAAATGGTGCGGGAATATATAAAATATAGTTTTAAATAGACTTTGATAGGGAATAGTAATATAGTCTGAAAACTGTGCTTTACTTGCTGTGTTTTTATCTAAATAAGAATCTGTAGAATCCATGAGAATCGCATAGAAATCTATATATAATGGTAATTGTATTTAAACATAAATTGTAAGGCAATGGAAGTTTTCGTTTGTTTTTGTATACAAATATCGATTTAAAAACGATGAATGTAGGCGCTTTTTTGAGCTCTAAAATGAATGTTCTCCACTTTTTTTAGGAAATATTAATGAGTCTTAAATAAAACTTGATTGGAAGTAATATAAAAAGAAATGTTCCCTGGATTTATGGTTCTCTAACTTTAATTGTCCTCGCAAAACATGTTACTTTTGTTCTTCAAAATATATTAATTAATTCAATGGGGAATGTCACGAACAAATCATTTCCCAATCACTGAAAACTCATAAAACACTTTTGATGCGAGGGAAGACGTTTTGTTTATGCTTTTTATTTTCGTTTAGCTTTCCAAGATCCGCGATGTGATCTGTAGTCTATTGTGATGGAGATTTATCTGTGTTGCTCCACTTGATTGGCATCGAACTCAATTGATTTATACGATATCATTTATTAGGTGAAAAGTTTGATTGTTTAATAGACAATTTGTTTACCGATCTGGCCCAAAGTGGAATCAAAATAGGAGCACTCACTCACTGCGGCGGCTAACAGCGGATGGACAACTGAGGCGATGGCTTCATATTCGCCTTTTGCTGATATGACGGGAAGTGTTTTGATTAAATAAAGAGGCACCAAGTGTCCACCAGGGTCTTTGAGTCTCCGGTTACCTAATGCCACACACACAGAGAATGTGCATATCAAAGCTTGGCTACTGGAATCCTCGCTGACACCGCAAAATATATTTGTTTTCCGGCGTCTATTGGTTCAATTTTTGCTTTTGTTTTTTTGGTTCCTCTCTCTCAGTAATTGGTGGTCTACGGTGGTCCGTAAATATTGTGGCACATCGATCGATCTCCCGATCGTTTTCGCTTTTCCGTGACTAAACGATCTGTTACGTTCCGTTCCGAGTCGATCCGTACGCGGGGCTGGCTATCAACAAACTACTGTAATACACGAATCGAACAAGTGTTACCCCTCGCTAGCGACGGCAGCGGCCAGGCGTTTGCTGTCGACAGAGCACTGCAAAAAATTGGATTGAAGTTGCAAATTTTGTATGGTATGTAAAGTACACAGAACTTTCACGTTTTTTTTTTTCAAATTATTATCATTAGGATAAAAATAAATTTAAAACAAGACAGGATGCTACGAAAAGTCAAAGTGTGTATGAAAATTATCATAAGAAAGCCAAAGATATACTTTTGGGGTCGAAGGACAATCACTAGACTTTCACTACACCATCCCTATAGATGTAAACAGCGGGTAGGCCGGAAACACAATAAGGCCAGTGCGAGTGCAGTGCCTGTATTTATACCCTCCCAGTGAAGAGAACGGAGAAAATGAAAGCGAGAGAGACACAAAGATCTCTAGAGATGGTTAAAGAGAAATATAGGGCAAGACAGAGATAAAGAGAGAGAGAGAGAGACAACCGGAGAGAGCAAGAGATTTACACATTCACAGTAACATTTTTGGTATTTTCTCTACATTTAAGGAACATTTTTGTAGAAGCTATATAATTTTTAATTAATTAATTTAATTTAATTTTTAATAAAATTAAAATTAAAGAGAAAAGTTCTTACATTTACACCTCTTAAAAATTATAATAAGCTGCTCTTTAAAAAACATTTCATATTTAATAAACAAATTTTTATAGATAACCAAGGCTATTATCATGTTAGAAACTTATGATATTATATTATTATTATATTATATTTATGATTATATATTATTTTAAAAACATGGAATTTACCCTAATTTTTCCCCAGTGCCCTATGGCCTTTAAGCACTGGCATTGCTGTGAAACAACAAAATAAATGTGTTTTATAAGCAGTTTTGCTTATCGCATATCAATATCGGTGCGTAAATATACAGTAGTCGATGGAGTGGACCGATATGGGCCCTGTCCGCGCACACCTATGTACATAGATCCACCGAGAGCACCCGCACCGTACCCTCAACCTCTACTTGTACTCTCACTTTCCCAGAGCTACATCCCCAACTAACTATTTCCCTGCCAAGATTAGAGCGCTAAGCTCTATCGGGTGATCTGTCTAAACCCATACAGAAGGGGGATTTCGAGGGAAGGGTTCACTGGATGGAGGGATGGGGAGTTCATGTAAATGCAGACCGCTATTTATATAGCTCTTGTATGGCTCATCGGTGGTGGTGTTATCATATCGGCCACCGTTCGATTGCCGGGGTTATCGGCGGGAGGGGGGAGGCAACTTGGCTTATCAAACGGCCAATAAATGGAGCGGCAGCAGGAGCGGAAGCCATCGGCAGCTCGCCCGGCGGACGGGACGGAATGGAACCGATCCGATGGCGTCTATAGATTGCTGCCAATGGCGACACGACAACAATGCCACAACCAATTTGACCAGCTCTCCTCCATGGCAGTCTACAAATCCAAATTAATGCCCGATGGGCCGCTCCGAACCCCTCGATATCTGGGACCCCCGATGGGCATGTGAAACTGATTAATGTGGCATTATAAACAGATCTCGAGTATGCGGTTGGGTCTTAATCGAAATTAGGTAACTTTGGGTCAAAAAAAAATAGAAAAACTATATTTATGGTATTTACGATAAACAAACACTAGTGTTTTATACTTGACTTGATTTCCCATAAGCTCTTTAAATGCACTATTATTGGTATAAGAAGACACTTTAATAATTTCATAAACTTTACTTCCAATTGGGCTCTGATAACTTCCGGTTGGGCTCATAATTACCATTTAATTATTCAAGTTATATTAAAGATAAATAATGGTTGTTATCTTAAAATCATGATTAGTTATTAATCTCTTAATCTGAAACTAAGAGATAATTTACAAATACTTCTTAGTTAAAATACCTCCAACATTACATTTATTTTTATATTGTTTACTACGTTTCCGGTTCCGGTTGTGCTCTTATTACACCTTATGCTCATTTTTAAACATACTAAGGGGTATTAGTATCTTTATTATAGTTTATTTCAGAAATCCAGTCTCCTTAGCATAGTTAGTTTTTTCTGGTCCTACAAAATTCGATACTTTTTGGCTTTACTTTAAAGTGTTTAAAGGTTTTAAGCATTTCTCTAGAAAATCAAAGCATTTTTCGAGTCCATAAAAATCTACAACCTCTAAAAACCCGTAGCAATCATGAGTTACCGTGAAGGTAAATGTGATGAGTTTTTCGTAAGATGTCAGATGCTTGAGAGGTCCTGTAAAAGTGCTGAGGAGTTGACTCAAAGAAATGGCGAAGCCTTGGAAAATCTAAGTCTACAGGTTCCTATACTAGCCAGAAAATCCGTAGACAGCATTGCGGAGGAGGCAAAAAAGGATGTCGAATTTAAAATGGATCAGATAAAACAAGAACTGTGCGAAAGAGAGAAATTTATTGTGTCCATGAGAGAGCAGGTTACCTTAAGAACCTAATGTTTTTAATATTTTTTTTAATAGTATATCCTTAATAGTTACATTTAGAAGTACCCAAATCGGATCCTGTGAAGCACAATCTCTTGATGCAAAAATACAGGGCAGCCCTCAAAAAAGATGAGAAACTCGAGGCCGAGGCCCAAAGATCCTTAACTGAGGTCAACGTTGACATGGAGAAGCAGACAGCTGAACTGTAAGATTTTGTTATAAATATTATTTAAGTTTTTAAAATAATTATTTAATTATCACAGCAAACAGTTGCACAGCACTCAGGTGATTGAGTATCTCTTGATGCAGGACCAAATCAAGGAAAACTTTAAGAAGGATATGGATAAACTCATGAAAAAGTTCGATGCAGAAATGTCTCGTTTCAGCAAAGATAACTCCGATGTTCTGGCAATCAAGGAGAAAAACAATTCCTCCTCAGTCGGCAGCACTCACCAGCCTTAAGTTTGGAAAATGTTCTATATGGGTTATACATATATTTTAATTTAAACAGCAAAAACCTCTACAAGCTATGGATCTTGTTTTAAATTTAAAATGTTAAAATGTGAATTAAAAAAATTGCATTAAATTTTAAGACCATCAAATATAAATGGTTTTTTTGAAGTTTTATTTTATTACTTTAAATTATTTATTTTATTCTTTATGACATCCTTTCCAACTCCTCACTTCTCTTTGGGCTTCAATTCATTGAGTTCTGTGGCATGTTCCGCCAACAGATCCAGCATCACTTCAATCTTCAAGTTACACATATTATTCTCCTCCTCAAGGGCCCGAAACTTTCTGTTCAGTCTGAGCATATCATCGACATCGCCCTTCCGGGACGAGTGCATCCAAATGCCATCCGCAAATCGCAGCTCCTTGTTGCCCAGAGTCAGGGAAATCTGCCGGAAATCATCCAAATCCTCGGTGGCCACTGGATGACCCGTATTGCAGCGACCCTGACGCACTGGAATCGGTTTCGATTCGAACTTCTTGTTGAACAGCGGCATGGCAAGTGACTGCAATGGAAAGTTGACCATTATTTCGATTGGACTATTATTTGTTTTGGTTTCGGCTCGTTGCCCAGGACAACCGACACCTGCCGCAGGGAGGTCAGCGAACGTGCCAGGACTCGTGGCAGTATTACCTGTTTGAAGGGTGGCAAGCAGCCACAACAGATTGAGAGTGGCCAGCAAAGGTGGTTCTTTGAACGAGCCAAGGTTTTCTTCTCCCCAAAAAATAAAGGAGACGGCTCAGGATTTACTAGCTGAGAAGAAGTCCACATTCGAGTGCGCAGAAGGTCTTTGGCAGCCAGTTTACAGGACTAAAATAATATTATTAACTAAAATTATTAAAAGTGCATTAATTATGATACAAAACTTACCTCTGTATCAATCAAGACTCGTAGAAAAAAATGAGTTGTGTTCAAAGAAACCCTAATTAAAGGCAACTGGCCTACTTCAACTGCCAGAAATAATGTCAAACAAAAACCCATCTGAAGTTTATCCATAAAACTTGAGCACATTCCGAAAATAATCATGACACAGGAGGCCAACAACCATCTCCATCCCAGGTGAGACAAAAAAACTTCAAACTAACAGAAATTAAATCACTGAAAAACCCAACTAAATCCCCATTATCCTCCCTCCTCAGCCGAGTACGGGAGGTCATCCAAGGTGTGGATCGTCTGGTCCAAGCAACCAATCAAGATCTTCGTCGATTTCAACAGGAACAGGCCCAACTCCGGGAGAACATCAAGGGAGTGCGTACGGAGAACGATACCCTAAGCAGCGAATTGGCCAGATACCAAAAGCTAATGGCCTGTGGAGATTATCAGGATCTTAGCAAGCGTCTAAAGCTAACCAATGAAGCTCTGGCATTGTCCAAGCAGCAGGTGAAGCTCCTGGAAAATGACCATAGAAACCTACTTTCGGTGCAGGCCTGTTCCCAGCGGACTATCGATAACATGGAGCTGGAGCTAAAGAGATACCGTGCTCAATTGCAAGACTCGGATGACGAGGAGGTACATATGTGAACATTCTAAGGACTAGTGCTCCATGACTTCTGTGTACTTTCAGTAAATACTTGGATTTAACACCAAAATCATAATCAAAATCTTTCGTTTTCGTTTTCATTTTCTTAATTTTCACTCTTTTTTTTTCCTTCTGCTTTAGTCTAGCCAGCGTTACGAGAGAGCTTTAAAGATGCTGGAAGCAAAGGTAAATGTCCAGCAGAAGGAAATACGCACCAAGGCGGAAACTATCAAAGTTCTGCACGACCACCGACAGCGGGATGGTGAGAAGCTGAGAAAACTGCAAGACCAGCTGCGGTATTTTGACAAACATCAGAATCTAGTCTCTAGCCTCCAGCATCAGCTAAAGGAATGCGAGCTCTCTCTGAAAAACACCCGCCATCTGCTTGATGCAAGCACGCGTCGAGAGAACATTGCCATGCGAAAGGTCCAGGAGGCTCTTACCCTGTTCGATGAAGCCGAATTGGCGAGGATTGATGCCGAAAAGCAAGCTGCGGCCAGCAAGGAGGAGGTTAACCACCTGGCAGGTACCATTGGCACCGTCATGGAAGAAGCGGCCACTCGCGTAGACCGCGAGATGGATGAATTCAAGCAAAGGATTGTCGAAAAAGACAAGATTATTGGTTTAATAAAGGAAAAAGTGAGATAACAGAAACTACTCACTTCCAATAGATATATATCTTTTTGTACCATTATATAGATGCGGAAGGAGCAGGCCGAGCACAAGACAGTGGTGCATCAACTGGAAGTAAGAAACAATCAGCTAGAGCAAAAGTTGAGAGATGCACAAAAGCAGAATGTCAAGTTGGAGGACGAAGTTCGGGTGGCCTGCCAGCAAATAAACGAGCTAGAGCGATCCGTCAACGATTTCCACAACGAGGAGGAACAACATTCTGTAGAGTAAGACATAAGATTTAATTATTTAACATATAAAAAACTTAATATAATTATAAAACTTCTCTTTATTGCCAGCAAAAAGCACTACGAGAGTGAAATAGAGCGCTATGTGTCGTCCTGCAGGAAGCTTAAGGCCAATTACCGCGTCGCCATGGAAGACATGACGCAACGTTTCGAAGCTGTGATCTATAAGCTGAAGATGGAAAACGAAGAATTGCAGGCGGACAATCGTATGCTCAAGGGTGGAGCTGCGGGCGATTGTATCCAGCCATAGTTCTATATCATTTAACTCCTGTACAGTTGTACAAAGATATATATTTTTTGATTGGTATTAAATACATTAACTCGTTTGGGATTGAACACTACGCTGTGACTGCAGTCTGAGTATTGCGACCGGGAAACAAACTGGGGAACCAGTAAGCGGGTTCATTCTCCGTCTGTTTATCTATCCAGCAGAGACCTTCACCGAGGACCTTGTCCAGGGATTGCTGTGTGCGGTAGTCTGTCCAGCTAAGAGGGGAACAATTTGGGAGGTTTACAAGAGAAACTATATGAAAAACTTACCCCAAATCCCTAATAAGTTGACTTTGTGTGACACAACCCTGCTCAGTATTGGAGGCTGCATTAAGTATGTTGGTCTCCTCCATGCTTAGCTCACCGGGTATAGACTGCACCATGTACTTGCCCTTGCCCAGTTTGTGCACCACAAAGCTGAAAGGGCAATAATGTAATTCTTTCCCAATAAAGTTCTCCCTTATTCATCTTACCCATTGCCAAAGATGGTCAGTTTCTTGGCGGCCATCAGTATATCCTCCTTGGTAATCTCCTGATGCACTACACTCTGACCCCTAGCGGCTATTAGTCGCCGCCTCAGCTCGTCCAGCTCCATGAGGCCGCCCGTCTTATGATTCGCAGCCAGGCACACTTCCACCACTTGAACCCCCAGCTCGTAATAGAAGTCACCCATGCCTAGGACACTCCAGAAACCCTTGCCCGTGGCCAGCGGATCCACACCGATGGCGGCGCACATCTCCTGGAACTGTCTGCGGAACTGGGAGTTCTTGCGTATGTCCTCCTTGTGCTTCATGGCAAATTCCTCGAGCTTAATGCGAAAAACCTCCATTTGTTTGGTCATCTGCTCCAGCTGTGATTCCTGCAGGTCGGTGCCCTTGTCCTTGTACTTTTCTGCAGCCAATTTTTGTTGCTGAATGGCACCAAGACCCACGCGACGACGCATTTTTATTAATTAGCTAAGGAATTGCACTATCAGTATTGTAATGTTTGTTATTATTATCATAGAGGTGGGAAAGCCGCGATGTTCAATTCTATCGATGTACATAAGCAATATATCGCTGATACACTTGGGGTTGCCAGACTTGCCGATTTAACATAGCGCCACTGTTAACTATTTGAATTTCATGGATATTTAAATTAAAATGTAAAAAGTGATGAAAAAGCCTTAAAATGTTAGTTAATAAATGTTAATTAAACCTTGTCAAAAGGTTTATATATTTATATATATATATGAAATGAACTATTCATAAAATATATGAAATAAATCATATAAAAAATATAATCATAATAAACTATTATATAATAACAATTAAAGTCTATGTTAATTTAAGCTTTCAAGCAAATAAGTCTATAATAATTTATATTCTGTTATATTTTTTTGTTATTTTCTTGTTTAAATATATATTGCTGTCCTATTCATTAATATTAATATTTCTTAACTGAGTAACTATGAACAGTAAGTAATTCTGAAGAGTTTGTAACTCTGAAAATTAAGTATTTATGACAAGAAAGTAGCTATGACCAGTAAGTATGTATGATCAGTTACTAAATTTGAACACTAATAAACAATGACTTGCAACGGTTGCAACACAACACATTTCTGTGACTTGGCCGGGAACAGTCACTTCGTTCCGGGGATGTTAGAACGAGTTGGTAATCATAGGTACTATGATCAGTAAGTATCAATGAACATTAAGTAACTTTGAACAGTAAGTATCTATGACCAGTAATTAACTATGATCAGTAAGTATCAATGAACTTAAGTAACTCTGAACAGTAAGTATCTATGACCAGTAAGTATGTAAAGGGGACCAAAGTCTGAAGTCACACATAATATAAATGTTATGGTTAAGACATGCCGCAGTAAAGGACACGTCATTTTTTACTTCCTTCCAGTGTAGTGACCAAGATTGGGTGACTTTATCCAAGTGAGCTTCTTCCAGGTCATCCAGATGTATTGCATTGGCCACGTCATATTTTTGGGATCGAAAGGTAATCACTATCACTATCACTTGAGATGTTAACACTAGGTACCCCTAGGACAGACTGAGGCGCGCGGGCCCTTAGCGCCTCTATTTATAGTCCCCGAGGAAAGAGAGGAGCAGAGAAAGTGAGTGTGAGTGGGCGGGAGAGGAGTTGCCTCTAGAGATTAACATAGAGCGACTAACATAGCGAGAGAGGGGGAGAGGCAGAGAGGAGCAACGAGCTGATATTTAATTTAACTCTGAGCAGTAAGTAAATCTGAACAGTAAATATCTATGATCACTGAATAACTCTGAACAGTAAGTATATATGACCAGTAAGTAAGTATGATCAATAAGTATCTATGACTTGTAAGTATGTATGATCAGTTACTAACTTTGAACACTAATAAACAATGACTTGCAACTTTTATAACACAACACATTTCTGAGACTCGGCCGGCAGAAGTCACTTCGTTCCGCGGATGTTAGAACCAGTTGGGAATTATATGTAAATGTGGGTGAGATTTGTTTTGGAACAAATGTAGCCTATTTGAATGAAACTATGAACTTATTCTTCTATATAATTTTACTAGTATATAAGTCGGAGTATGGCGAATCGGTGGACTATATATATACATACATATATGTATATAGCTGCCATAGGAACGATCGGAAAATTTTAAGAAAAATAATTATAACTTTTTCAGTTTTTAACAGATTTTCATCAATTTTGATATATGTATAGCCATTATATATTAATTTTGAAATTTTATTTATATTTCTCTTAAAATTTAAACTTGATCGCTTATTATAGCACTTTTATCTTTCCATTTCAAAATTTTTTAAAAACTTTGTCAGTAATTAAAATTAATTACACTTCAATATTTCGACTTAAGACTCACTAACTATTATTAATACCATCTGTTAGTACTCTTAATACATTAATATAAAGTGCATTTGTCACAAGATCCGCTCAATTAATGCCTAATGGACCAACCGCCCCCATAGATCAATCAACAGCCCATCGAATTCGGGGGTTAAAAATATATGTATGTAAAAAAAAAGAAAAACTCCCCGAAAACCTCCTTGCAATATGACGAAAAACCATGACAAGCGAGTTTCATCGACGAGACCCGCATATTTGGGTGAAACGTCATCAGATCAGCTGCTAATATATGTTTACCCCAAGATCCATATAGTGCCAGGAAAATGACAATAATGTTTATAATGCCAGCGGAAATCGAACCCGCTGATTGAATTTCTCATCTGCAGGCAATCTGTGAAACACTTCAAATGCAGATTCAGCAATATCTTCTGTGTGCAGATTAATTATGCGAACCGCGAGCTGAGATGAGGAAATCCAAGCTCATTAATAAGCCGACGATTTGTTTTGTTTTTATTTTTGACTCCGTTTTCGTTGTGGCGGCACTTAGCACCACTTAACGGTAGGAGAATCGGTCGATTAGCGAGATGAACAGACCGACCAGATCCCAAAAAAGACGGGGAGAGCCGCCCAGAGGCACTCGACACCATTACGGTACGCCCAGTAGTCGGGAGTCGGAATATATGCACACGTTCCAGCGATCATCAAGTAAAGGTACACCGAAAAAATGGATAAACAGGAGATAAAAACCTAAATCAGAACACTATCTTTAAACCCCTTAAAATTGTTTTGTATTTCAAACATCGTAATTTCTCTTACTTTATTTCCTTAGCATTAACATTTCTAATTATTTTCTCAACTCCTTTTTTACTTAGAAACATTACAATATTATTCTTTTTAAAGCCCTTTTCTCTCAGTGCTTTTATTTTCACACAAATATTCATAAATTCATACATAATACACATGGCCATATGTCCAATAATTAGGGCAAACATCGAACTCTCCCATATACAACTCAATGCATTGCATAATGGCTTTGTTAATTGAAAAAAAATCTTAGCATATCTATTAATAATAAATAATAATATATATTGATGTGTTTTCAGACATAACAACAAAAAAGGCAATTTGTGGGCGAATATTGTAAGTGTGGGAAATGTAATGTGATCTTAGATATATAAGTTTATGTACATAGATGAATCTTATAGAGAGAGATTATGAAATAGGTTTTATTATGGATAAAGTTTATGAAGTGTTTTTTTATTTTCTCCTATTCCATATTAAAAATATATTTAAATAACATTTATAGTCTTCTCTTAACCTCCCCCTTCTCAACATTTTCCTCCTGCTGTACTTTATTTTTGGATCTTATCACCCCGCGTGCATTTCCTTTTAATTTTCCATCTGTTTTTGGCCCTTTGCTGGATCTGCAATTATTTAGACAGGAAGCCAGGCCAGGCCAGAGATGCTATATACATAGGCACGGGCTTCGGGTATGGTATGGTAAATATTTATTTATGCTTCACCGTAGTCGCCTCACTTGCAAATGAAAACCGAACCAAATAAAACACCCGACAGCCGAGGAAAAAAAATTAATGGAAATGCAAGGAAAACCAAACTTAAAATAGAACCAGATAAAAATAAACAAAATGCTGCTGACAGACAAAGGGCCGAGTAGCGAGCGAATGAAGAAGTCTGTCTAAAATTAATATCAGAAACAGAGGGAGAAATAATAAATAATAGTGTTTATTTAATTGTCAATTTAAAATGATAATATAATGTAGAAAAATAAATCTACTAGTAAAAGAAAAAAGGTTATTCCTGGTTTATTAACCAAACTATAAAGCAAGTAGTTTTGTTTCCATCTTAAAAGTATATCTTAAACCTTAATTTTATAATATCTTAAACAACTAACCTTACAGCATTTATAAATCTTTCCCTTCATTATATAAAATAGACTTTTAATACCAATTTTTAAATGCATTTAAATTTATTTTTTGAGTCCAAAGTGGATGCTTTTTATGGGGGATGTTTGACAGTCGAGGGCGAAATATTTGGGCAGCTGACAAACACCTAGGAAAACCCATACATTGCATGTAATCAACCGAATTGAACACGAAATGCAATATGCCACAAATAGTTGCAGCTTGACCAGATGCTGTCAGCTTAGCACGCCGCGCGATCCAAAAGATACAAAGATACACACGCGGACACGCAGAGATACATCCAAGTTGAGGCACTCTGACAGGCGGAGCAAAACGATCTCATTTGATTTTCCATGCTCCGCAGATCGCATTACATTAATAGACTCACCGAGTCCGAGTCCGAGTCCAAGTCTCAGTCTCAGTCCAGAGTCCATTCACTTTTAGAAAATGCATACGAAATGAAGCCACAGAACCGGGGAACCACCAACCAACCAACCAACCAACCACCGACCGAGCGAGGTCACCACTCCCTTGCCGCATAATTCATCCAAAAACTCGCGGCTGTCTAGTAGGAAAAATCGAACAACTTTCGGGCTCAGAAAACTCTTTTGTCTTATAATAATAAAAAGAAAAATTCAAAGCGTCTGAATGGTTAGAGAGGAAATCCTAGACAATGGCAGACGAACGGCGAGAGGGCAATAAAAACTGAATAAAACTGGTGGGAAATTAAGGAAAATTCTTTTGATAGTGTTTTGGGTTAGAAAAATATATATAAAAACCAGTTGGAAAGTTGCTTGCCGCAGCGATCAATTATTATGCTGGCGGCAGCTATTGTCTGGCATTTTCCAAGTGACTGCACAGAGAAAACCCGAGGTTTTCCATTACAGTGAAGGGCTGTATTATGAATTTAAATAAATTTATTATATATTACATATATAATAAGTAATATAATAATAATATTTATTATATTAATTGCAAGATTTGTTGGTAATGAATCATTATATTTTTGTACCTTATAAAGTAAAGCTTAAATAAGTATGATGTTGTTGTTGTTAATTTAATTTGAATGGATAATTTTAAAGGGTTTATGTTTTGTCAAGTTTCTATTTTAATTCTTTATAAAAAAAACTACTACTAATTTTGCCAGATTTTATTAAGATCAAAATAAGTTACTGTGAAAATATTAATCATAGTAGGACTGATATTTTCTATGGAACAACTTTAT